TTTTTACAAAAAAACAGCTGAACATGAGAGGTTTTTGGACCAATTTTGTGTTCTCCATTCTTTAAGCACAGGTTTGAGCACCGTTTAAGCACCGGCACCGTTTCAAAAGTACTGGTTTGGCACCGGTATCGGATAAAACCTAAACGATACCCATCCCTACTCCTCAGTGTATAATCATGCTCAAGCTTAATGACATAAGGGCCCTCGGTCCATGTAAACATCGAGATCCTCTCACCTCCTCTCAGAGTTTAATTTAATTACACTGAAACCATTAAATTATCAGGACAAAAGCTTGTATTAAAGCAGCAGGAGCTCAGACACTGCACTCCGATCATTTGTCATCCCTCATGAAAACCCCCACAGCAACACTACCCCCCACTACAACCCACTGTTATGTGTGTGTGTGTATGTAGACTGCACTGTAAGATATTCCTAATTATGTCAAACAGAAGAGCAAACCAGCTGCCCTGCTGGTAAAGGCTGACTCAATCCACCCAATAACTGAAACAAACTTGTGCACGTTTCATCTTCGCCTCCCAGTAACGACGCAAAAAAGCTACCAAAAATGCTTCTGATGAATCTTTATCCCCATCATGTCATTTAAAGATTACACACCGTGGAGCTAAACATTAAACCAACAACTCAGGGGCTTTTGGCAAACGTGCTGAGCCAATTTATTCAAGACTATTCAATCACAATGTCCTTCATGTGTCAGAGTCCTCTACGGCAGAGCAGTTCTCTCATTAAGAGAAGTGTACTTGAGAGTTGAGGTACACACTATTAGAAGCCAGTAAGATGTTCAGTTTTCACCCTTTTCGGTCAAAAATAATGTTGTTGTTTAATAATTTAAGGTTGTTGGATGAGACCAACGCTCAGTTTTTAATTCTAGTTTTGATATCGAGTGAATACAAACCAACACCTAACTGGACTGAAATGACATCTGCTGGACGGTTTCTAAGCAGTTTAACCCTGAACAGAAATCTGATCCCTTAACTTTAAATATGGAGGTTGTGCTGCTCCTGCCACAAAAAGATCCAGTCCAGGAAGCATTTAAGACAATCATGTTGTTGTAGTGATGCCCATCTACACTATATTGTAGTCAAAATATCGAGAAGTGTGCTTTATGTCTTAATTTTGGCTAAGAAGAACTGGCAACAAAGACAAGCTTTTTAAACCTCATCCCGAATCAGAGTCGCAAAACTTTTAAAGCACTTATTATCAGATTTTTTCGCTACATTTTATTCCCTGATGGCCAAAATTTAAATTCATGTTAGGTCTGTTTCCTCATTTATTTAGATAGGGACTGCATGGAGTCACTGCTGAGTAACAATGGCAGTTGACGGAGTGTTTTTTTATTGCTTCATGCAGAGATGTGACTGGAGGCACAAAAATGCATTGAGCAGGTTTATTTCAGTTTCATCGTGACACAAGATTTCATTTCTCTCTTTTGGTTTCACATTATTCATCAAA